ATATGATCCCTCACCTACCAAGTGACCTTCGTCTTGAACTCAATAGGGAGTTAGGGACCCGTCACTTTGAGCCACACAATTGAACATGTATAATATTCTGAAATTCCGCGAATAAAGGTGACGCATTATACTGGCCATACGTCCAGCCTGGATGCTCATAGGTGCTTTAGAGTATAAGCCCACGAAATACTCATAGGAAGCGGCCACACTTCCACACCTAAGTAGGTGAACTCCATCAAGTGTGAGCTACAACACACCTCCAAAAATATGGATATGGGTTCATTAAGAGCCGTATGCTCAACCTCCTTATCATATGTAGCTAAGCACAAAACAAACATCTAGAGATGGACAAATAAAATAAAAATGTGCTTCCGAATTATTACATAATGTTCCCCTTTGAACTCATAGTGAGTAGGAGTTCATTATTTCACAATTCATACAACGGGCTTTAGCCCCATCTCTTCCGATGTTTCCAAAACTAGTTTTTTACATAGGCCTTTAGTTAACGGATCCGCAATGTTCTTTTCGGACTTAACATAGTCCAGTGATATCACCCCTTCAGACAACAAATTTCTGACGGCTTTATGCCTCAGACGGATGTGTCTCTTCTTCCCATTATAGGCATGGTTGTGTGCAACAGCAATAGCAGCTTGCGAATCACAATGAAGTGCAACTGAAGGAGTTGGATTCCCCCACAGTGGAATATCTGCAAGCATGTTCCTCAACCATTCTGCCTCATGACCTGCCAATTCAAGAGCAATAAACTCAGATTCCATAGTAGACATAGCAGTACAAGATTGCTTACAAGATTTCCAGGATACGGCTCCACCCCCAAGGGTGAAGACATAGCCACTAGTGGAGTTAACTTCATCATTATCGGATACCCAGTTGGCATCACAAAAACCCTCCAAAACTCCAGGAATTTTGGAGTAGTGCAAACCCCAATCCATAGTACCCTTAAGGTACCTAAGCAACCTCCTTAGAGCAATCCAATGATCACTGCTTGGATTATGAGTGTACCTGCTCAACCTACTAACAGAATAAGCAATGTCAGGTCTAGTGTAGTTCATAGTAAACATAACACTACCAATAATTCTAGCATATTCATACTGATTAACTGGATTACCATTATTTTTCTTTAGGTGGAAACTTGGGTCATAGGGAGTCTTAACTGGATCGACATTAAATGAGTCAAACTTTTTAAGAAGCTTTTCAACATAGTGTGACTGATTAAGACATATGCCATTTGGAGTCCTTTTGATTTTAACTCCCAAAATCACATCTGCCTCACCCATGTCTTTCATTTCAAAATTCGAACTCAAAAACTGTTTTGTCTCATTTACACGATCCAAGTTAGTCCCAAAAATCAACATATCATCCACATAAAGACAAATGATTACACAACCATGACTATCATGCTTAAAATAAACACAAGAGTCACCTTCATTAACATGAAAACCATTACCAGTCATAGTCTTATCGAATTTTTCATGCCATTGCTTTGGAGCTTGTTTAAGCCCATACAATGACTTGACTAACTTACAAACCTTTTCCTCTTGTCCTGGAACAACGAACCCTTCAGGTTGGACCATGTAAATCTCCTCATCCAAGTCACCATTCAAAAATGCAGTTTTGACATCCATTTGATGAACAACAAGATCAAAAATGCAAGCAAGAGCAATTAAAGTCCTAATGGTTGCAATTTTAGAAACAGGGGAGTAAGTATCAAAATAATCAATGCCAAACTTTTGAGTAAAACCCCTTACCACTATCCTTGCCTTATACTTGTCTATGGATCCATCGGCCTTTAACTTTTTCCGAAAGATCCATTTATAAGTAATGGGCTTACAACCTCTAGGAAGTTCAACCAATTCCCGAGTGTTATTATTGAGAATTGATTGTAACTCACTATCAATTGCTTCTTTCAAAAAAACAGCATCAACTGACCTCATTGCCTCATCATAGGTTCTTGGATCATCTTCCAAAACAAAAATATGCACAAAGTCATCATCAATTAAGGAAGATTCAGATAAATAGGAAGTAATAAAATCAGGACCAAAACTGTTTTCCTTTCTTGCCCTTTTGCTTCTCCTTGGCTCCAAAATAGAATCATCGTTAGTAATAGGAGCATTAGCAATAGGTAAACTAACAGAACTACTAGCATGCAATTCACTATCATTAGAAGGAGACATTTTCAAAGGAAAAATGTTCTCAAAGAACTCAGCATCTCTTGCTTCAATGATATGGCCACCTGCATAAGAGTTGTTAGCACCTTTAACAAAGAAACGATAAGCTGCACTTTGATAAGCATAGCCAATAAAAATAGCATCAACAGTTTTGGGACCAATTTTATCCCTCTTGAAACTAGGTATGCCTACTTTTTCTAGGCACCCCCACACTTTCAAGTATTTCAGGTTTGGCACTCGACCCTTCCATATTTCGTATGGAGTCTTGTCAAGCTACTTGTGAGGAACCCTGTTCAAAACATGACAAGCAGAAAGAATAGCCTCCCCCCACATGTTATTAGGAAGCCCAGAACTAATAAGCATAGAATTCATCATATTCTTTAAAGTTCTATTTTTCCTTTCAGTTATACCGTTTTGTTCAGGTGAATAGGGAGTCGTCGTCTCATGAACAATGCCAAGTTGCTCACAAAATGCCTTAAGAGTGTCAGGGCTGTACTCACCACCCCTGTCACTCCTAACCCTCTTGATCTTTTTGTCCAACTGGTTTTCTACCTCAGCTTTATATTTGAGGAACATTTCCTCAGCTTTGTCCTTAGACCTGAGAAGATAAACCATGCAAAAACGGTGAACAATCATCAACAAAAGTAATATAATACTTTTTACCCCCTCTACTTTCGTGATTATTAAAATCACCTAAGTCACTATGGACAAGTTCTAGTACTTCAGTCTGTCTATCTACTGATTTAAATGGCTTCTTAGTAAATTTGGCTTCAACACAAACTTGACATTTCAAAAAATCAGTGTTAGAAAAACTTGGAATCAAATTTAAGTGTTTAAGCCTTTTAACAGAATCAATATTAACGAGACCTAATCTAGCATGCCATAAATCAATAGACTCAGCAATATAAGCAGAAGAAGTACTAGCATTCTTATTCATAGTGTCAACTTTAACATCAAGAGTAAAAAGCCCCCCATTACAAAAGCCCTTCCCCACAAATTCCCCATTGCGAGTAAGAACTAATCTATCAGAATCAAAGGAGAGCTTCAGTCCAGCTTTCATGAGCAAACTGCCAGAAATTAAATTCCTGCGCATTTCTGGAACATGCAAAACATTAGTGAGAGTAAGCAATTTTCCAGAAGTGAGAGTGAGAACGATCTTCCCTTTGCCTTGGATAGAAGCAGAAGCTGAGTTGCCCATGAAGACATTTTCACCTTCAACCTTGTCATAGGTAGTGAACATGTCCTTGTTGGCGCAGATGTGCCTAGTAGCTCCAGTGTCAACAATCCACTCAGCAGCATTACCTGTAAAGTTAGCTTATAAAACAACAGCAACAATAACGTCAGAATCCTCAATAAGATTTGCTTGACTTTGCCCATTCTTCTTCTTGACCCTGCAATCTTTAGCCCTGTGACCAGTCAAACCACACTCATAACAGATTCCCTTAAACTTGTACTTCTGAATTTTTCCATTAGGCTTAAGGTTACTGTTTTTGGCTTTGGATTGGCTGTTTGATTTGGGTTCAACAAGGTTGGCTTTGGCAGAAGAAGAGGAAGGAAAAACAAAAGGGGTTTTGTCTTTGATACGGTTTTCCTCCTCGATTTTAAGGTGGGCAGCAAGTTCCTCTAAGGTTAGGTCTTTCTTTTTGTGCATGAGTTGGTTACGAAAATCCTTCCAAGAGGGAGGGAGTTTCTCAATCAGAACAATAGCAAGGCTAGTATCACAAATAGACAGACCTTCAGCAGCCATATTAATACAAACACTCTCATAAGCATGAATCTGATCGATAATAGGCTTATCATCAACAACTTGAAAACTTAACCACTTACTAACACAATAACGTTTAGTACCAGCATCATCAGTTCCATATTTTTTCTCTAAAGCATCCCAAATATCCTTAGCATGATAAAAACCCATATAAATATCCAACAGACTATTCGACATATAATGCAACAACATGCCCTTACAGGTTCTATCATCCTTAGAAAACTTAACATCACTTTCAGACAAATTATCCTTATCATCAGGTTCAACAATATCATCAAGAACATATCCAACATCAATTTGCTCCAAATAAAAATGCATCCTAACAGCCCAACGTTTATAATTCTTTCCATCAAGAGGTTCTAACTTAGACATATCAGGAATCAGAAACTTGGAAGCCATAATCGTCTTTTAGATTGTTATACTAATAAGCAATAAAACGGAATTTACTTATCTCTTGATGCGTGAACCAAACTGACAATAGCCGCGTCATGGAGAACCACTGACCTAAAAGACGATTCTGCGCTACCTCCCGGTGCAGTAGACAGTTGCGGTCGCCCTTCAGGATAAGCACGGCGCCGGAGTTTATGTGCAGTCACAAACCCGACTGGAACTCAGAATACTTGTCCAGAAAACAGAACGAGGAACATGTGTTTAGATAATTTTAGAGAAGAGAGAAGACTGATTGTGTTGTGTGTTTAGACTGAGAAAACCACCGAGTATTTATAGGCTGAAGAGGAAAAACGGGAAGCATTAAAGGTGGGAAGAATCTGGCCAAGAAAACGACCAGATTAATTTGGTCAGTCAACAACCGAGGCAAGAAACAAGGAATTAATCAGTCAACTACAATCAAGGAATTAATGACTTAATCAATTCCGTAATCCCAATTCAACAGTCAGAAAAGAATAATCCCAACAGACAAAAAGGAATATTCTGTTTAACAAAGAATTTCTCCAAAAATATAACAAGGACCCACACCCGCGCATCGCAAGTCCCGAGGCCCGACCCGGCTCGGCGCGCGCGCGCGCGTGTGGAGTAACACACACCTCCAACTCACTCAACTAAGTAGTGATAAAGCACTACAATATAAAAACAAGGAAACACCTCACTCTCCAATCAATGTGGGACTTTTTCTCCTCAATTGTTTTTCTCTCTCACTTTGTTTTTCCCCAACACTCTTTTTTTTTATATCAAGAACTTCCAACATATTTTAAAGAAGAAATTTTTGGTAACAGATAAAGCCTAAGTAATTTTGTTTTAAAGGTCTTTATAACTCAAACAAGGGCACCAATACCTATAACAAGGGCACCAATACCTATATACTCAAACAAGCTAAGGGCATGAATACCTATAATACATTAGCCCGCTTGGGTCACTAATTTATTAGTTTTTCATGTTTTTTTTTTGTTTTTTGTTTTTTTTTTTTTTTTTTTTTTTTTTGTACATAAAATGTGACGTGAGTTGGGGCTATTCATGAACTTAATCTTCGTGATACCTATAACAAGCATGTTGCTTCTAAAAACTAATAAATAAATTGGTAACAACTTTTTTTTGTGGTTTTTGTAAACAGAAAATTAGAAACAAAAAACGTGTTCACTTAACAAACAAGGGTACATTCACAAATCACAAGCAAGCACGCATATGCTTTCGCCCACCCCCTATCTATAAAAGGGTTGATCAATAATGCAAAACCAAATCTCCAAAAGATAAGTGAAGATGATGTTGAAAAAGTGTGTAAGTCTTATATTCATACTTACCTTTGTTGTGGTTTTAACAACCACACCTCAAACCACCTCGGCTGCCCGCTCCCTTGGTCCTGTATCTAGCATTATGCTTGATGAGATCGGTGTCGACAACGCCACTCCTCAATCCTGCCGAGACGTAGATGATCACTGCAACTTCGTTCACTGGTGTTGCGGAAGGTGTAATTGTGATTTTTTTGTTACTTGGAGATGTCAAGTTCCTCCTGATCCACAAGAACATTGTTGAACCAATGAACCATGTCCAACGTCACATTATTATAATCTTCGGTCTATAATTAAGTAACATCATTTATTGTGTTGTATTTAAATTTGAATAATGTTCAATTAAGTTACATTTGTATGCTTCTAAGTAAAGATGACACTAAATCGGATATTTCTTGCAAGGAAGTACATAGTAAAAGAATATGGCTACAAATATATTGCAATTTATGTTATCACTCACACAAAGATAAAATAATTAGCTATGCAACTATTAAGCATTTTTAAAGTAACATCAAGAGTGTGAATATATGATATATGAGTAAACTCTGCCCAAATAAATATTGGCTAAACCATAATAATTTGTAATTTATATACATATTTAAAATGTACAGCATTAGTAGTAATAATATACTTGCACACAAAAATAGAAACATCAAACACTTTTTGAGGACATTCTTATGGGAAGAAACTCTGAAATTCCAAAATATATATAATCAAAGAAAGGCTCAACCAAAGCTCTAATTAATACTCAAAATTATTTGAGGTAGACATCAGAAACATGATGCCTATTGAAAAAAGATAACAAACTGTCGCGCTCATCACTGTCGTCGCAAAGTCTAATCTCAGCAGCTGCTGATGCCTTATAAGTATGATTGTAAAGCATGTCACAAATACCCTTTTGAATCACCTTGGTCACATTTTTCTTTGATGTTGAACAAGAAACTTTGTCCTTTGATACCGTTGATTTTTTGGCATTCATACTTTGAGGCGTAATAAGGAGCATTGATTCCAATGTTGGGGCTCTTAGCAAGAAATATTCTGCAAGTTCAATGTCTGAACTAGTTCCTCTGAAGTTGCACAATGTGACAGTCCTTAGATAGGTAAAAATACAGTCGACAGGTTTGATATAAGGCTTTCGGAACTCCCAGATGAAGTCTTCCTCCTCTGAAACAGTCGAAAGCTACAAAATCGGATCAAATAAGTAATGATACAGCAGATATTATACAAGGGTGTTAAAAAATATGCAGGGGAGTATCGAAAAATTTAGGCCTTACTTGTATGGAAATCTTTTGTAAAGAAGGGCAACTGCAGTGCTTAAAAAAGCAGTAGACATCAGAGTTGAACAGCCCGAATAATGGGCTGTTAACAAGTTGTAGTTCCTGTAAATTTCTGAAATTCACCTGAAAGTCTTTGATCAAACTTGGCTGCAGAAAAACAGGTACTAAATCGAGTTAGGCTAGAATCTAGCAGTGTGTAACGTGTTAGTTGTTTGTATTAGCCTAGCCCAAAATAACAAGGCGATATGTGTTAATAAACGAATAAAGAATCGAATTGTAAGGTATTCTAACTGTACCACAAGATGTCCAAAGTATAAGCTGAGAGATCTGACATGTGCAAGGTCTGACAAAATCTTCATAAACAAATAGATAACTCCACCAAACTCATCGCCTCGAGTCCCAATAAATACCTCCTCCAAATTCACCATGTCTTCCACTCTATAAGCATCCAAGTGGCCTGCACTAATCAGCAAGGACCGGATGTTGGGGCCAGAAATCTCAAGAACCGAGGCATTATAACACTCGTAAACTGTCAGTCTTTTCAGACGTGTAGCAGACAGAATTCTGATCGAAGTCAGCGATCCACATTCCTTCAGAACCAGAACTTCAAGCAGTTTGCAGTTGCATAGCAGACTTTCAAGCATACTGTCAGTTACATGGACTTCTTTAAGGCAGAGAGTCTGAAGGCTGCCAAAACCGGCATATTCTTCTGGAAGGCCTAATATGCATCTGCTCAATTTCACAGTTATCAGTGTTTTGGTGTCAAAAAGGAAGTCTGGCAACTCGAAGACCTCTCTCTTATTAATAACATGGGCGCTCGACAAGAAGTGGATGTAAATATGCCTGCAGAAATCAAAGTCAATCTCTTCAACACCCCTTGAAGTTGCAAATCTAATCCAACTTATTGCTTTTGACTTGTGTTCTTCATTTCTCGGGCTGAACAATAGCTTGAACTTGTCGATTTTCTCAGACTTGTTGATGCAGAGGATTCTGCTAAGGTTATCAGCAAACTGATTTGGACTCTGATGCTTGGCAAACTCTTGTACAAAGTCTAAGTTACTGGCATATTCAAGATGATCAGCAGAAATCTGTCTCCATCTTTTGGAAATCGAAGAAGCCGTGATAACGAATTTGGTTGGGATTAAAGAGAAAATAAGATGAAGAACAGCATCAGGCAGATCACTGATTAAATCCTTAGCTTCCTCCTCCATTTTGGTGGGTTGTGTTTGACTTTTGAGAGAGAGCAAAATTCAAATTTACTTGCATTTTCTTAGCATTTTATAGCACTTGTATAAGTTAAAGCACATTGGATTACAAATTGTTTTTCAGGAATCTTATAAAGGTTGGCTGATTGTCCATGAAGCTATGATTTCATTAGCTGATGAATGATGAATAATATAAAATTTGCAAGGAAAAGGTCATCATATAATATGATAAAATAATCTGACCAAAAATTGATTTATTAAAGACAAGGACAAATCTCCTTAATTAAAGATGTTTAATGTCAACTAGGCAGGGGGAAGATGAGCTACCCAATAAACTAGCAATAATTTGTCCCATCAAACAACCTAAAGATAGAGATATGAAACGTCTAGTTTGGGACCTTGTGGAGTTGTGGGCTTATATAAGAAAGAGAACATGCCTTAAGCATGGCAATGGGTCCGAGCCATGAATTTATTGATGGAACGGACCCCAACAGTCGTGCCATACATCATACACTCTACGGCTAGTCCTATATGTTATTTTAAGTGTTTGTCACTTGTCTTAAATACCAAGTACGAAGTAATATTTATGCAAAATCAGTAATGGACCGTCTATCATGCTCACAGTGTTCCATGTCAGTGTTTACAAACATGACCTAGGGACACAAGACATAGCCCATTAGATGGACCTGGTGCCATGCCGTGTTGGTACAAACCACTCAGTATTAAAAAATCGCACCCAGGTACAAAAAGTATTAAGGGTTATATCTTATATGCTTTTTATAGTCTGGGCAAAAATGAAGTGCATGCACACCCGTTTTTCACAAATTCTTTTTTACTGTTTATTCGGTGCATCTAATTTTGTTTCGTGGTCCTACACACAAAGGTCTCCTACACTTTTTTTTTTCTTTTTTTTTTTTTTTTATTATAATAACATAAGGAGTATTACATGTATAGAACTATAGAAGACCATTTCAATTTATGACTCATTTAAGAGAATATATAAGTCCTTACATCTTATAATACCATAATATATAGTCCATGAAAATCTAGTTAACCTTAGTGCAACATCACAAATATAGTATGAGGTATGAGCTGCACACCTCATGAGTATGACCTTGTCCAAAAATTCGCCAATTATCGTGTAACTTATTTTAATTTTTGAGGCCAATTATATCCAACCAACAACTTTTATTGGCTACTAACAGTTACCTTATTTCTTTATTTATATTTTTATTGTTGACTCTATTTCATTTTCCTTTTAACTAGTAAATAAATAAATGGAGTTAGCCGAATGAACTTAAATAATAAAATGTCAACAGTTCTTCCAAAAAAAAAAAATTAAAAACTATTACGCCGTTGCCGGGGATCGAACCCGGGTCACCCGCGTGACAGGCGGGAATACTTACCACTATACTACAACGACTTGTGATGTTTGTAAATTAGGTCTCAGTTTATAGTAATCAAAATCACTACAATTTTTTGCTTTTTATAAGTAAGACCTTGTCCATAAATACATATGAAGGCTTATATATTTTTTTTATTAGCAAGGTTGATTGTTTGTTAGCACGTTTTTTCCCAGGTTTACTTTTAATAGTCATAATGAAGTGGAAAAGGCTTTGAGGTCTAACAAAAATATGTGTTTACAGGAGTTAAAAGTTTGGGTTACAAAATGAACGATAACAAGTTATAGGATAGGGCAAAGAGAAACTAGCTAGTACCTCTTCCTGTTTAAATTACTTGACATGCTTCCTTTATAAATCGAGGAATCGGAATCCTATCTCTTGCAAGTTGACCACCGTCGGTGATTATTCACTTTAAAGTGGAAGAAGCCGTGATTAGTTGTAAAAAGTGTTAAAGGTCAAAGTGTGTAATTTGACATAAGGAATATCTCAATAGTACTAAAAAATAACTTCGCCGTTGCCGGGGATCGAACCGGGTCACCTGCATAACAGGCGGGAATACTTACCACTATACTACAACGACTTTGGTAGACTTGTTAGAGATATTAAAATAATTGTTTATATATTGTTAATTCAATGGTGCTAAAAAAAGGATCTTGGTCTTGGATGAAAAATTCTTTTCCATGCTGACCATGCATGTAATTAATGTGCAATTGGTTTTTGAAAGAGTCATTTTCTTCTTGATTTCCAAAAAAAAAGTGTCATTTTCTTCTACTCTCCGATAATAGCTCTCTTGTTGAACCAGTTTTAAACAAAGTTCTTTTGCTGAACTAATTTTAAACAAACTCAAGCATTCATGCAACTGCTAAGCAACAAAATTTGCAATTTTTAGATTAAGTAATCAATGATTTCAAATGAATAGTATTAAGTTGCAAAACATTATACCTTTCACATTTCCCAAGTTTTTTTGGAATTTTCCTCATAATGTGCCAAATACACCGGCGATGCCTAGTTGAGGACAATACCTCCTCTAAGGGCTTCCTCATTGTCGTTGCGTGGTCTGTAAGAATCGCAAGAGGTGCTTGGTTATTCATACAAGATAACTACTCCTGAAATACCCAAGAAAATGTGTCACAGTCCTCGTAACCAATGCACATTCCAACAAGATAGATTGTACATGGTGGTTTACCCCTACGAAGTTCACAAATGGTAATTCATACGCATTTGTTAAATAGGTAGCATCAAAGCATACCACATCACCAAATTCCACATACGCTGCCCGACTTTGCGCATCAACCCAAAGAACATCTTTCAGCCTACCTTGTTCATCTAAGCGTTGTGCATGATAAAAATTCTGGTTCCCTTCTTTCATTTTTTTGAAAAAAGACATCATAGCTACTGAATCCCCCCCCCCCCCCAAGCATTTTCATTCTTCTTGCCTTGTACACCTCATGCTCCAGGCCTTTCACTGTGAAGTGAAGGTTATCTGGTCCTTCTACTTCGGTCGCCATGCAACCATGAATTTGCGAAACTTGCACACCTTGTTCAAAAAAGGTAAGCAACTTCCTCCTTGCTGTTGACGTAAATTTCTTCATTCGATATACTCCTTAACAAGCTTGGCCTTTCTTGGTGTTGATAAGTGCAAATGTTCCAACACCACTTTCTTTATCACCCACCCCCCCCCCCCCGATGAATTAGCCCCTGCATATATCTTCGCCTGACACTCACATTTTTTTGATTTCCGCTTTCGTTGCCTTAATTGGTCCACATATGATCCCCCCTACTACTCCTCCCGTGCCTGACACCTCCATAGCTTTAGCCCTCTTCTTTGCTTCCCTCATCGCCCTCATATCTGGCCTACCCCAGCATTCACACCTCCATGTTGTAGCAATTCGGTTTCTTCCCTCGCCCTTTGAATACACACTGTTTGGGTCCAATTTAGTCCAATTGGGCCTGGTCACTGAATGATCCAATTAAAAGCCCAAGGCAAAGGTTCAACTCTCCAAATATGCTAAAGTCAAAAATCAACATCCTCAAAGCCATGTCAAGGTCAGTCAACGGCCCAATCAGCTTGGCCCAGCCCAACTGATTTCCGGGCCCAATCCGCCTCCTTCATTAGCCAAGGTATAAAAGCCAACAATTTGGTCAATTCTTGGTAAAAAAGGCAAAGACAATAAAGCCTCAAGCAACTAAACTCTTGCACAGCTTTCTCTCTCTAATATACTGACTTAAGCATCGGAGGGGCCTTCCTCGGCGTCCCCCCCGAGGCTAGTTTACGTGTATTTGTTGTGCAGGAAACCCTCGGCTCCTGCGTCGTTCGGACCGAGACCAAGTTCCCTCAAGATAAAAGGATCTTCCGAGATTCGATTGTTTTCATCCGAAACAATTTGGCGCCGTCTGTGGGGAACGCTACTAAATTTCGCGTCAGTCATCAAACACTCCGGCAGTCGCCATGACTAAGAGTGGAAAGAGTTCCAAGAAGGCTAAGAAGGGAGGAGGCCGGATTACGGTGAGGGAACGCCAGCCGGTTTATCCCTCCCCGGAGCAAGCCTCTTCCGAATCGGAGGCCCCCATTTCTCCGGAAAGGGGAGCCTCAAGAGGTCCTAGCCTCCAGGAGGAGAACACCTCGCACCACACTCGGCAGCCGGGGCCATCCCCGAGACCGAGTGGCTCAGGTGCGAGGAACTCCCCGCCGCGCCATAGCGTGCAATCCAGGTCACATCCGCGGGAGACTCCTCTCTCCGGACCCTCCACCGAGGAAGTGGCCAGAGCAGTGGCCATCTGCATGGAGTTCCTTAAAGCTCAAGGGGCTCCAATCCAGATGCCTGGTGATCACCAGCCGAGAAACCTGAAAAGGAGGATCGGTCAGGATGATGGTGGACAAGTTCCACCACATAGACAGCTCGGCCAGAGGTGGCGAGGGGACACCCGAAACTCCAGTAAGGAGAGGAGGAGGAACCCTCAACCCTCTGACCACTCCGAAGCTCAGAATTCCATGGGGCCCTCCAAGGACCCGGAATTCGCCCGCCAAAGCGTTCACGAACGCTTGGGTTCGAGGGAGGTGAGTGTGCATAGCCGCCTCACCTTCCCAGAGGATACCGGACCCCACCCAACCTTGTCTCAGCCGGGGACGAAAACCACTTCCACCTCTGAGAGAGGAGGGAGCGAGGTCCCTAAGGCCGGGTACAAGGGGAAGGCGGTCATGGTTCCATCGAACTCGCCCTTCCAGAAGTGGATTCTGGAAGAGCATGTGCCAACGGTCAAAATCCCGGCACATATTACTTACGATGGTACCTCAGATCCTAAGGATCACATTGCCTCTTACGAGGGGCACATGTATCTGAACCCGAGGTCTGAGGCTACCTGGTGTAAATACTTTCCTACGACCCTCAAAGGTGTTGCCCAATCCTGGATCACCAAAGGGCTCAAGGAAGGCTCCATAACCGGTTGGAACGACCTCTCCAACAAGTTCAAGAGCAAATTCTCTACGGCCAACCGCCGAGAGAAGACCACTGCAGAGCTAATGAGTCTGCAGCAGGCGGAGGACGAGAGCCTCCGCGACTATCTGACTCGCTTCAGCAACGAGTCATCCGGAATCACAAGCCTGGATCAAGGCCTGGCCGTGTTCGCGCTACGGAACGGCCTCCAAGCTGGAAAGTTCCTGGACTTCATGGTCATGCATCCCCCGCAGACCCTGGAGGAAGCCTTGGAAGCATCGGATAGGTTCATCCGAGCCGAGGAGTGGAACAGATCCAGGTCTCAGTCTCGTCCGAG